CTGATTCCAGGGTGGGTGTTTACATTCTAGGACCCTGTGGGTCCCTCCAATGAACTCTCCTGTGAGGCTGGGAGTTTATTCTGCCACTTCAACCCCCGTAGGTTTTCTCAGTCAGAAGTTTTGAGGCTTTAATTCTGGCACTGGAACCCTGGGTTGCGTGGTCTGTCTCCCTTTAACATTTCATGTAATAAAGCCTTGGTGATGATGAACCCCTTTAACTTTACCTTATCTGGGAGACACTTTATCTGCCCTCCCATTCTAAATGAGAGCTTTACTGGATAGGGTAATCTTGAATGTAGGTCCTTGCCTTTAATGACTTTGAATATGTTTTTCCAGTCCCTGCTTGCCTATAAGGTTTCTTTTGAGAAATCAGCTTACAGTCTTATAGGCACTCCTTGTATCCAAGAAGAAACACACCAAGACACATCATAATTAAGTTACCCAAGATTAAAGATAAGGACAGAATCTGAAAGCATCAAGAGAAAAGAAGTTAGTTATATACAGGGGAGTTCTCAGAAGACTTTCAGCTGATTTCTCAAAAGAAAGTTTCTTTCTCAAAAGGAACTTTTCAGACCAATGGGGTTGGCAAGAAATATTCAAAGTGATGAAAAGCAGGGGACTACAGCCACCATTGCTCTATCCAGCAAAGCTATCATTTAGAATCAAAGGGCAGGTAAAGAGATAAGAAAGAACTAAAGGAGTTCATCATCACCAAACCATCATTATATGAAATGTTAAAGGGGCTTATTTTTAAAAAAGAAGATAAAAAATATGAATAATAAAATGCAAAATTACATATCTAACAACATTTGAATCTAAAAAACAAACTAAGCAAACAAGAAGAACAGAGATAGATCATGGATATGGAGAGCATTTGCATGGTTGCCAGATGGGAGGGGGATGTCAGGGAATGGGTGGTGAGGTGAAGGGATTAAGAAGCAGAAATAGGTACTTACAGAACAGCCATGGGGATGTAAAGTACAGTGTAGGAAATGGAGTAGCCAAAGAACTTATACACATGACCTGTGGACATGAACAATGGTGGGGGGATTGCCTCAGGGAGTGGGGGGCCCTGGGTGAAGAGGGACAAAGGGGGAAAAATCAGGACAACTGTAATAGCATAATCAATAAAATATAATTAAAAAAAGAAGAATGTATTTCCACTGAGGCTTTCACTACTCTGGTTTATCTGTTAGTATGATCTACCTACTTTCTGCCTTCCAAAACTCATCAGCATCTCAGGTCTGCTCATGGTTCTTCATCCTATGTCATGGCAGTTAGGTATTTATTTCCTGTTTGTACTTCTTTACAGTCATTACATTAGGCTTCAACAGGGAGTCTCAGTGTTCTTAAACTGGATGCCCCAAAGTGAACAGAGCACCCAACTAATATTCTATACTTTCCAAAGGAAAGAGCGCAGCATGAATGACCTCACAAATGTAGGAACTCACAGGAACTACTCTGCCAGCTTAGCCGCCCCTGACATTTACACCACCTCTCTGCCGCCTGCACATTGCCACAGGCTGAGCAGACCGCTCTGTACTCCTGCTCTAATATGCTCCGGTGTTCTCTGCCTGCTATTCAGCTGTCATCCTAGGACTTTCTTTTATTGCTCCCATGTCTCCTGGCTTCCCTATCTTCTTTCTTGAGTTACTCTCTTGTTTTGCTTGAGTATACACTAGAAGCTTCCTAAGAGAGGGTACATGATGAATAAACTTTTTTTGAGTTTGCACATACAGAAATTTTTTTACATTTGCATTTTATTGATTGTTTCATTGGATTTAGAACTATAGGCTAACAAATAATTTTCTGGCAGACTTTTAAAGGCATTCAAATTTATTTTCTGCTGTTGCAGGTGAGAAGGCCAATGTCTGATTTCTGATCCTTATATATGACCTTTTATTTCTCCCTGGAAGCTTTTAGAATCTTCTTTTTAATTTTACATGTTCTTCACATGTGGTCAATTTGCCATGTTAAACAGGACTTGTCACGTGTTTTAATTTTGTCTCCTCAGGGAGACAGCAAGTAAAACAGAAATAGCATTGACCCTGAAAAATCATGTCTAGATGCATAGATACAACTATTGTATAGTTTTATGTATGTAAAGTATCTGGCACATATTGTTTCCCTTTCCCCCCAAAAGGGAACGTAAACATTTGAGGCTTGGACCCAGGTTTTTTACATCCTTATGATTCTCCCCACATCTGGCATGTATTGGGAGTATAATAGATTCTTAGGAAATAGGACTTGATGACTTGATGAGTCATAGTTCTGTCTTTACCATTACTTTTCTGTGGGATTTTATTTATGACATTTGTCTTTACTGTGTCTCACTTTGCACGTTTGTCAAAAAGCTACAATACTTTTTCATTTGATTATTGTTCATGGATGTAGTAAGGCTGCAGTTAGTAATGTGAAAATATTCTAGAAAGTTAAAGGTCCTCTACAGATATCAAGTATTATCACTCTCCTTAAGATATGGAAAGCAGCCTGGCTGGCGTAGCTCAGTGGATTGAGCACGGGCTGGGAACCAAAGTGTCTCAGGTTCGATTCCCAGCCAGGGTACATGCCTGGGTTGCAGGCCAAAACCCCCAGCAACCACACATTGATGTTCCTCTCTCTCTCTCTCCCTCCCTCCCTCCCTTCCTTCTCTAAAAATAAATAAATATTTTAAAAATTAAAAAAAAATATGGAAAGCAGTATAGAACTTCCTCAGAAAACTAAAAATGGATCTGCCTTTTGACCCAGCAATTCCACTGCTGGGACTCTATCCTAAGAACACTAAAATACCAATCCAAAAGAACCTATGCACCCCAATGTTCATAGCAGCACAATTTACAATAGCTAGGTGCTGGAAGCAACCTAGATGCCCATCAGTAAATGAATGGATCAAAAAACTATGGTACATTTACACAATGGAATTCTATGCAGCAGAAAGAAAGAAGGAGCTTCTACCCTTTGCAACAGCTTGGATGGAGCTGGAAAGAATTATGCTAAGCGAAACAAGCCAGGCAGTGAAAGACAAATACCATATGAGCTCACCTTTAACAGGAACCTAAACAACAAAACAAAGAAACAAGCAAAATATAACCAAAGACACTGAAATAGAGGACGGGCTGACAGTGACCACAGGGGAGAGAAGAGGGAATTTCAGGGGACAATGGGAAGGGTTTACAGGAACAAATTTAAAGGACACATGGACAAAAACTAGGGGGAGGGTGGTAATGGGAGGGAAGAGGGGAGGGTTGGGTGGGTGGGCAGGATTGGGAGTAAAAGGGAGAAAACTGTACTTGAACAATGATTAAAATAAAAAAAATCATAAATCACATATCTGATCTATATCTACTATCTTTTGGAGGGAGTACAGGTCATATAATATCATGTTTTTCAACACACTCCTTTAGAATGCTGTTAAACTTTCACATGTAGATAATACTATGTCAAGTGAACTATTGGCAACCCGATTGGCAAACAATCCCACATCATCATCGAGACTCACAGATGCAGGTTGGACTGTGGTTACAGCTCAAGATGGCTTTGGAAACTGGCAAGTCATTGTCAGATTAATGAGTCACTTTTCTTGGGGTAAAACTTCTGCAAGCCTTATTTTTGCTAATTCTGCTAAGTAGAAGAACTGAATTAATATATCAATAAATAGCTTTCACCATATTGAACCGCACACACACACACACAAAAGATAGGTGAACAGGTAGTTGGACTTTCCTGGGTGCATGGGAGACATCCTGTTTTGAAGACAGGCCTAGGCTGAATGACCTAGCTCAGTGTCTCAGGATACATGTCCCTAATATTACCAAAAGGTATATTTGCCTGTGTTGCCTTTCTAAATTCTCAGCTGTATTTCATCCTTCTCATCAAGAAACCAGGAAATGTCACTTCGTTTCAGCTGCTGAAAGCTATGCAAATAGCAGTAGAAAGAGAAAGACAGTGGATATGAGTTTTCAGTGTCAAAGCTGAATAAACCTTCCTAATTTTTTAGTAAAAGTTTAGTAAAACCCATTTACTAAATCCAAAGTGTTTAGAAAAAGAAATATGATATTTTCTATAATAAACAATGGAGAATACACAATTTATAATTCAGATATTTATGAGAAATGTACAGAAAGAAAAGGCATTTTTGAATTTTCAGAATCTAAGCAGTGGAGTGAAAATAAAAATGAAAATTCACATAATCAAGTACAGGCAGCACTGGAATGCTTGGTTATGCAGAGAAATTGTATAAGTGAAGAAAGTAATGTCTGTATCTAACAAGAATAAAGGCAACTTGTGTATGATTGGAAAGAAAATAAATGGTTAATTAGCCTTTAATTTAAACTTCTGTTATCAAAGCTGATTATTTTCTATTGTAGTGCTCTCCAAATTTAATTTCTTAGCAGCAGAATCCTCTATTTTCTAACTGAAATCTTAAGAACAGATAAACATGAAGCTGCTCTTTTTGAAGCAGGAACCTCAGAATGAGGCAGCTAGAACAAAATTCAATTCATCACCTCTCTTTCCCCTACAGCAGCCCTTTGACCCCTCTGAGGAAACAGAGTTTGGAAATCATCAGTTCAAGTAAGGTGTTCTATTAGCTAAGTAAGGTTTTATTAAAGTGGTCATGAGTGCAACTGGTTATGAGAAAATAAAAATATGTCTTAATTTCTAAAGCAGGGTCCTTGAGGGGGAGGGGGGCAAAAAGGGACTAAATGGTAATGGGATAAAAATACAATGGAAAAAATTAAAAAATATAAAGCAGGGTCCTTGATCCATTCTAAAAAATCATGACTGTCCTCTACGACAGAGGTGTGTAAACTAGAGAATCCCTTATTAATTGGCTCTGTTCTTTCCTGCTTCAGGTATTAATTAATATGTGGGGTTCTAAAGACTGGCTTCTTGAGATTTTCAAACAACTAAATTCCAAGTTGGAAATACCAGCTACTCCCATGGCAGGGAGGGAAGTATGCCTATTTGTAAGGAAATAGAAAAAAAGTCTTTTAACTCACCCAGAGCACAAGGACATTCATGAGATGGTCCATGTGTGTCCGTTTGAAGGAGGACTTCCCACTGTTCTGCATTAATTTGGTGTCTGGTCCTAGGTGCAACAGGGAGACATCAGCTCTTAGAATATTGAATATACTCAGAGGCTTGAAATTGGGTTGGAATGTACCTTTACAATCACCTAATCAAACTTCTTTCCAGTCCCAGGGAGTAAAGTCCTGGAGAAAGGCCCATAGTTGGTGCCAGTAACTCAAAGAATAGAAAGTTTGTTTCTAAGGATAATTTCAATCACTTCTGCAAAGTGCAGTAATGCTGGCCTCTGCCGCTGCAGCACTTTAGACATGTAGTCTTTCACAGATGAGCTAAGTCAGAATAGGAGCCACTATCTTCTCTCGCATTACCAACTGGTTTATTTACCTTAGAAAGGGGATTTTCTGATAAGGAGATTACCACCTTTTGGGGGGGGGGGCACTGTTGGCCAGGTTCTGTTTATAGTTTCTAATTTGGAAAGAGAGAAAAGAAAAGGCGATGGCAGTGATTTCTTCTGAGATGGAATCTGGGGATCTAAGACTTCTCTGGGGCTGAGAGACAGACACTCCATATTTTTCCTGATAGGGCAGAGAGTAAGCAGAGGTAAAAAGCTTTTAATGGCCAAGGGGCGAGTTGGAAATTACTGACCAGAGATACAGCTATAGAGAAAAGTTTACTTTATTTTTGTTAAATAATTTTTATTTATTGATATTTGAGAGAGAGAGAGAGAGAAAGAGAGACATTTGTTGTTACACTTAATTATGCATTCATTGATTGCTTCTTATATGTGCCCTGACTGGGAACAAACCCACAACCTTTGCATATTGGTGTGATGCTCTAACAAACGGAGCTACCTGACCAGGGTTTTGCAGAGAAGAGTTTAGAAGAAAGTGTAAGTAGCAATTTCTCTGGCCTTTTACATTCTGTTTATTATTTTTACATGTACTCTAATGAAGGAATTTTATCAATGTTGATATAAGGGGAGCTGGAACTTCCCTGGTATGTGGACAAACACCAAGAATGCTGTACATAAGCTATGCCACTCTTCCCTTTTAAGCACTCTTTGAAGGGCCTGAACTAATGAGAAGTTCGGCTGAGAGACTGAAAGCTACAAGGGACAGTACCTTCCAGGGGTTCACAGAAAGACTGCCTCTACCCCAGGTTTCAAGGAGAATGTGGAAATCACAGTGGCACTTTCACATCATGTAGCAGGAAGAACTCAATTCTGCACTGCATACCTCTCATCAGTTCACCTGTTTTGAGCTTTCCAAAGCCCCCCGAGATTTTCACTACCACGTAACCAACAAAGGGTTGGAGGGAAACTTCAACCTGACTTGTGCTGGTTGGTAACCTCACTGCTGTTGCTTTAGGGAAAAAACATTTTGCTGAAAATTGAGCTTTTTATGCGTGATGGTATGTGTGGGTACCTGCTTAAGTACAATTAAAAAAAGTCTACTTCAAATCTTTTGTGTTTGGGAGGACTAGGCAGCCTAGAAGCTGCGAATTACAGGTCAAAAGTCAAGGAAGAAAGTTCCACCAAGGCCTCCATAGACTCTTAAGCTTCTCTCTAGGGTTTGGATTCCATTATTTTCCACAGAAGTGAGGCATCTAGGATCCCCCTGTCTAGGAGTAAATTCTCTAGAAGGGGGGCTCTGAGTTGAGTAGAGTTCACTGAGGTAAGTCTACCTTGATGTTATCTTCAGGATCCCCATCTTCTCCCTGTGGTTGCTGTCAGCACTGCCCACAGTAACTGAGGGCATAGGGCAGCACCGAAGGTTCTGTCATTTTCCCAAGCCACATCATAGCCCAAGAAAATCCCTCACTAAGTATAAGGGATTATGGTTCTAAAGGACATCTCAAGAGGGGCCACTGGCTAACGTTCCACTTTTGCCTTCCCTCTGGCATGAACACTTCATATTGTATTTTATATTCTTCTCTATAATGAGCACTGTGTTTATTCTCTCCTCATGGGAGTAATCCACATGTACACTCTCCCTTTTCAAAAATGCCCCTTTCACACACCAATTCTATGTGTACTTCTCTATGTATGCCCTCTCTTGTGTCCAGATCTGATTGAAAAGACTCATGAATGCCCTGTGGTCTTGGAACACAAAGCCTTCCTCTAACAATGGCAGCACTGATATGTTGACAGCTCATTGCTTGGAGAAAAAGTTTTTTTTTTCAGTAAGCATATTTTACTTCTTTAAAATTATTTTACTGTTGTTAAAGTACAGTTGTCTCCATTTCTTCCCCACCACTCCCCCCAGCCCCAGCCATCCCCACCTCCCCCGTTCGATCATACCCCCCTTTGGCTTTGTCCATGTGTCCTTTAGACATGTTCTTTGATGACCCTTCCCTCTTTCTCCCTCACTATCCCTTCCCACCTCCCCTCTGGTTACTGTCAATTTGTTCTTTCAATGTCTCTGGTTATGTTTAGCTTGCTTGTTTGTTTTGTTGATTAGGTCCCACTTATAGGTGAGATCATATGGTATTTGTCTTTCACCACCTGGCTTATTTCACTTAGGATAATGCTCTCCAGGTCCATCCATGCTGTTGTGAAGGGTAGGAGCTCCTTCCTTCTTTCTGCTGCAGAGTATTCTATTGTGTAAATGTACCAGAGTTTTTTGATCCACTGATTTACTGATGGGCACTTGGGTTGCTTTCCAGCACTTGGCTATTGTAAATTGTGCTGCTATGAACATTGGGGTGCTTAGGTTAAAACTTTTTTTCTTAAATCATCCATCTATCCATCCCCTTCTATCTGTCTCAAAGCCATAGTGTTCTGATATATATGTGAGTATTATCTACATCCTGAAACTCAAGCACCCACAATCTGGCCATGAATTGCAACCGGCTGGCTGGGGGTCTAACTGGGACTCCAGGGAGACGTACCGGTATAAATCACTAAGCCATAGCACCAGTCTGTATTCCTGATGATGCATCCTCGGAGCAGCAGCTTGTCATGGTCCAGGATGTGGCTTTTTCCCTTATAAGTCAGTATTCCTGTGAATCTGTCCAACTTATTATTGGGAGATTCACACCTCACTTCTCCTGGAAAAGGAAAAAGTATGAGCTCTCATTCTGTAATCTTTGGTAGAAGGAGGTTTAACACAAAATAGGAAAACATCTCTTTCAAAATACATACACATATTTTTCCTATCCTCTTTCAGATGCTACACATTTCTTACCCACCCCGTTTAGAAAGGCAGACAAAGGTTCCTGGGCATCAGAGGGAAGTAACTGTATTTGTGACATGGGTTATCCAGAGAGCGTCCAGATGAGAAAAACCTGTGTGATAACTTATCACTATCAGTACTATCAGATCATATGAACTCTAAACCTGAACAAATTAAAAAACTACTTGAAGAAAACCTAGTATTTTTTCAAAATGAAAATAATCTGAGCTTTCCTGATTAGTGAAGCAAAATATGGCCTTTCTAAATATATATACAATATTAAAAGGAGAAAGAAGTTAAATTTACCCATTGCCTAGAGATAAGAGCTATTAACACCTTTTGAAATACATCCAAATTTTTCTATACATGTACTCATAAACATATACATATTTCAAAAAGTGAGTTTATGCTATATATACTAAACAGTCTATTGTAATATTTTTCTACTTATGAATATCTTGTAAATATTTTTCCCATGTCAATAAATACCAATTTGAATATTGCTTTTAAAAAATTGGATTGAATGTGGGAGGTGGGGGTAGGTAGGGCAGGGGAACGTAATGGGGGGGAAATGGGGACAACTGTAATTGAACAATAAAAAAAGTTATATAGAGTTCACTGTATGAATACACCATACTTTATTTAACCAGTCCTCTACTGATCAAAATGTGGGTAGGCAAGCCTATATGCTAACTCACCATCAAAGGCAGACAGCAGCTTCAAGTCAGCTTCCAACTGACTGGTGACTGAGATGGCCTGTTTCACTTTCAGGTTGGTTTCACTAGAGTAAAGGACACAGTCACGAGCATACAGAGCACATACACAACAGCACCACAGGTCCAGTTTCTCCTACATTTTCATGGAGTTTTAGAAAGTAGATGTTGCCAACAGAACTTGGGCTATAGGTTGGAGCAGCATGAGTCACTCCCACTATTCTCTCTCAAGAACATTACTATGGTGCGATGGCTCTAGAAAGACAGTGGTGTTAGCGTACTGACTCCCCTCTCTCACTGCAACACATCCCTACTCTTGTAACCAGCACACAAGATCTTGCTGGACAGGTGCTCAAGCTGAAGAGACATCACAAAACAATATGGACGAGGCACCTGCTCTACTCAAGAATAAGGAGCATGTCCTGATAAAAACCTGCACACACCTTCAACTAAACATACTTCTTACTTCACAAATGTTTATAGAAGTCATGAAGGGATCCCAGTTAGCCATTTGCTAATACAAGAATGCACTGAGACAGAGGCAAAAATAGAAGCCATATTTCACAAAGCTTGTGGGCACCAAGAGGAATAGTTGTAAGAATGCAGATCCATATAGAACTCTACAAGACAAGCTCTCTGAAGATGGACAGTCTCTACCCTCCTAAGGCCTTAGCTATTGCATTCTAATGAATTTCTACCTTAAATCCTTTATAGAACATGGTGTTTGATCAGTAAATAATTACCTCCATACTCATTTTTCACCCCTGGAAACTTTGGAACTCTATTCTGAAATTTTATAGTTCTATTAACCTCTTTCCTGTCACTCAGCATTATTAAATACAGCTAGACAGAGTGTCTCGGTTTAGAGATGGAGAACAGGGAGTTTATTTGCCCAAGTAATTCACCCAGTGAAAGCTCAATTATTGCTATTTAAAGCTTGGCTTTAGACTTGAGGTCCAAGAGTCTGGCCTCCTATCTCATCTGGATATTTCTAGCCTCTTCGGTACTTTGATCTGAGAATAAAGTTCATTCTCTGCATCACGTTCTCCCTCCATGAAAAGTCACTCTAAGCTGGCTTGGTCACCTTAACGGACCATTAAGGAGGGAACACTTACCCATCCAGTTCTGCTGTTTCTACATACGTCAAACTGTACGGCTCACTGCTAGAGAGTAACAGTATGTCAGCCTGTGGTCAGAAAAGTCAGAGGAAATAAGGAAAGCAGAAAGGCAGACTTTTAACACGGCAGACTTTTAACACTGCAGTGACAAGAGCAGTTACCTCAGGAACAGATGTTCATCCTAAGAATTTTATAGACATTTGGTTTACTTTGTCTAGGACCTGTCACTGCTACCATACACCCCTCTGATTAAGAAGCTTCACATTACCTGTAGCTATAGTGAGAGGTGGACAAGAACAAGCTTATCACAGGCACTGTTGATCTCTGGATGCAAAATGAGGCAGGTGAAAGTCACCAAAAGCATGGTGGTGGAAGTGCTAAAAGGGCTCCCCCATTTTCACTCCAGCCAAAAAAGAAAAAGCCACAGTCCAAAGAGGTACTCACTGTAACAGGCTGATTATTTTCTAATTTTATTATATCTCCCACTTGGATATTCATCCATTTTTTCTCTTCCATCCTGTAAGAAAATAACCCTTGAAAGCCTGGTTTGAGAATTCCCCCAAAGCCCTGTTTTTGCAAGGAAAAGAAGAAGAAGAAGAAGGAGAAGAAGAAGGAGAAGAAGAAGAAAGAAGAAGAAAGAAGGAGAAAGAAGAAGAAGAAGAAAGCTGAGAGGAAGTCAAGGCTCAGAGGAGGACCGACCAATTTGTGATGCATTGGTGCTACAGTCAAGAGTGGGGCCCATTTTTTTCAAATTCCAGGGTTATAGTTCTTTAAATATTATTACACATGCAATATTCTTTGAATGTTATAATATAAACATAAGTCCTTGTTGCAAAATCACTATTTATATATCCTTCAACCTATTTCCTTTGGTTTCAAGTATCATCTCCATGCAGATAATTCTCAATACCTTTACTTATTTTGTTCCTAATTTTCAAATCTGGATGATAGTACTGAAGGGTAGTACTATCCTGTAAGCTTTGGAGGAAAACATCTGAGAGTTTTATTTCATCTTGACTGACAAACTACTACTACTTCCTTCGTGGACATTGTAACGACAATGTGTCCCAGATTAGGGAGAGGGGGAGATAGCCCCTACTGATTTAAAATATTCAATCCTGTTGTGCCCTAAGTACATTTGTAATTCCCATGCATTGCAATATAACCTTTTGTTTAGAAAATTTGGTCATATAGCTATAGATGGCATTACTTTGACTACAGAGCAGATCATTCATATCATATTCTCTGTTTTATGTGAATGGTCCCCCCTGGAGTTCTGTAACACTCTGGTACTTTTCCTAATACAAATACTCAGAAATGCTAGATAAAATAAAGTCAACACTGTTATAAGCAAGGCTATATTTAACACAAAGTAAGGAACCAGGAAAAGAGACAGGACTGAAATCCAGAACAGAAGCATGTTCTGAAGCTGTTCTTGCCCTTAGTGGGGGAGAGGGATTACCAGTCTTAGTATTGGGTTGGACAAAAAATCTGTATGATTTTTTTCCATAAAATAAAAGACACATTTTTTATTTTCACCAATAACTTTATTGATTTGGATATTTTGAGTATGTCAGCTATCTCCTGTGTGGAGATTAATGTCTTGATTTGATTGCTATCATCTCCAACTGATCTATTCAACTGTGGAACATTGTCCAGAGAGAAATCTCCAGCACAAAACCTCACAAACCACTACTGACATGTTCAATCAGTCACAGCATTTTCTCCATACACTGCACAAATCTTCTCTTTTTTTGCATTTCAGTTTCATTTTCACCTTTCTTGAAATAGTAAAACATAATATGTTGAAAATGTTGTATATTTTCCATCTTTAATATTAATATGGCTACACAAAATTCACCAATTTTGATAAGTTTTATTAAATGCACAATGATATGACAGCTGTCGCAATACAATCTAACAAAATTGTTTTGAATGAAGTTAAAGACAACTAAGCACTACTAGAGTCATCTTTTGGAAAAAAACAAATTAACTTTTTGGCCAACTGAATAATTTGTAACTTGAGCGTTCCTTTAGCCCATCAAGGGGACAAGAGATTAAGCCTTAGGACCTTGAAAGGCAATGAGTTGGAACAAAGAACCCCTCATAAAGCCAGGACTCTGGAGGGGCAACATCATTAGGAAAAAGGTGATCTGGGGAAAAAAAAATCAACTCATTGGCAAGAAAGTTTGTCTCTCTTACCCTGGAGGGTTGCGGTGAGGGAATGGAGGACTCCTCCGAGAATTAGTACCCTCATGAGGTACAGGAATAGGTGATACCCTTGAGTTACTTGGTAGAGGCAAACACAAAGCCCCTTGGGAGGGACAGAACATGAACTCAAGGCCACTTATAGTATCCATAAAGAAAGTTCCAGTGGGGCTTTGCCAGATAGCTCAATTGGTTAGAGTATCATCTCAATACACTAACATTGTGAGTTTGGTCCCTGGTCAGGGCACAGTTAAGAAGCAACCAACGAATGCATAAACAAGTGGAACAACAAATTGATATTTCTCTCTCTCTCTCTTTCTCAAAAAAGATTCCACTATAGATGCCCTTTTAACCAAAATTATTGAGAAAATGACAGAAATCACAACTTGCAAAGCAGACAAACTTTTTCATAGCAGGGCTGCTCAGACCCATGTGTTCTAGAAAAAGAATGCTACTTTCTGGAATATAGACCATTTCAACAACCAGCCTCACCTCCAGTGTTCAATTAATCAGACGCTCACTGGGTTACAAAGTCTAATCAGGGCCCTACTTCTGAACTCCCACCATAAAACCACTCTGACAAATTCTTCTCCAATAATCTTATAAAACCCAAGTGCTCAAGTTACTTGCGGAGTTCATTTGATGAAAATTATTTGAGCAGTAACTCCCTAGCCTTGCAAAGTTCTGAAACACCTTTGTCTTTTCTTTTTATTTCTATTTATTTCCTTCTTTTATTTTTTATTTTTCTTTCTAAAAAATATTTTATTTATTTCCAGAGAGAGGGGGAGAGAGGGAGTAAGAGAAGGAGAGAAAAATCAATGTGAGAAACATCAGTTGGTTGCTTTTCGTATGTGCCCCACCTGCGACTGAATCTGTAACCCAGGCATGTGCCCTGACCAGGGATCAAAACAGTGACCTTTCCCTTTGCAGGATTACACCCAACCAACTGAGCCATACTGGTCAGGGCAACTTTTGTTTTTAATCACAACTGCCTTTTTTAGTGGTAGTTATGAGAGGCTTCAACAGATCAAAACTCTTGAGGAAATAATCCACCATGAGTAAGAATCAGCAACTATATAATAAAAGGATTAGATGTCCAAGAACTTGACATAACAGAATTATATAATTAAAACTATAGCTACTGGGTGTTCTTTTTTAAAAAAGAGAATATTTTATTGATTATGCTATTATAGTTGTCCCATTTTTTTCTCCCCTTTATCCCCCTCAACCCTGCACCACCCTCCCAACAGCATTCTCTCCCCCACCTCCAGGTCTTTGGCTTCTCCATTTCCCATACTATTCTTAATCTCCCTCTGTCTATTTTGTTCCTACCAAATATGCTTCTTACTCCCATACCTTTTCTTCCATTCTCCCTCCACCCCCTCCTCACTGGTAACCCTCCATGTGATATCCATTTCTGTGATTCTGTTCCTGTTCTAGTTGTTTGCAGGTTTTGTTTTTTTTTAGGTTCAGTTCTTGATAGTTGTGAGTTTATCATTTTACTGTTCATACTTTTGATCTTATTCTTTTTCTTAGATAAAGCCTCTTTAACATTTCGTATAATAAGGGCTTGGTGATGATGAACTCCTTTAACTATCCAGCTAGGCTGGATAGAGTAATCTTGGATATAGGTCCTTGCCTTTCATGACTTTGAATACTTCTTTCCAGCCCCTTCTTGCCTGCAAGATTTCTTTTTTTTTAATATATATTTTATTGATTATGCTATTACAGTTGTCCCATTTCCCCCCTTCTCTCCCCTCCACCCTGTACCCCCTCTCCCACCCACATTCCCCCCTTTAGTTCATGTCCATGTGTCATACTTATGAGTTCTTTAGCTTCTACATTTCCCGTACTATTCTTACCCTCCCCCTATCTATTTTCAACCTACATTCTATGCTACTTATTCTCTATACCTTTTCCCCCTCTCTCCTCCTCCCACCTCCCTGCTGCTAACTCTCCATGTGTCCTCCATTTCTGTGGTTCTGTTCCTGTTCTACTTGTTTACTTAGTTTCTTTTGGTTTTACTTTAGGTGTGGTTGTTAATAATTGTGAGTTTGCTGTCCTTTCACTATACATGTCTTTTCTTTATCTTCTTTTCTTAGATAAGTCCCTTTAGCATTTCATAAAATAAGGGCTTGGTGATGATGAACTCCTTTAACTTGACCTTATCTGAAAAGCACTTTATCTGCTCTCCCATTCTAAATGAGAGCTTTGCTGGATAGAGCAATCTGGGATGTAGGTCCTTGTCTTTCATGACTTGGAATATTTCTTTCCAGCCCCTTCTTGCCTGTAAGGTCTCTTTGGAGAAATCAGCTGACAGTCTGATGGGAACTCCTTTGTAGGTTACTGTCCCCTTATCTCTTGCTGCTTCTAGGATTCTCTCCTTCGTTTTTACCTTGGCTAATGTAATTATGATGTGCCTTGGTGTGTTTCTTCTTGGGTGCAACTTCTTTGGGGGCTCTCTGAGCTTCTTGGATTTCTTGGAAGACTGTTCCCTTTGCCAGAATGGGGAAGTTCTCCTTTATTATTTGTTCAAATACGTGCTCAATTTGTTGCTTTTCCCCTTCCCCTTCTGGTACCCCTATAATTCGGATGTTGGAACGTTTAAAGGTGTCCTGGATGCTCTTAAGCTTTTCCTCGATTTTTTGAATTCTTATTTCATCATGCTTTCCTGCTTGGTTGATTCTATCTTCCTTCTGGTCCACTGTATTGTTTTGAGACTCAGATTCCTTCCTTTCACTATTGGCTCTCCTCCGCGTATCTTCCTGCATCTCTTTATGGTAACCTGCATCCTTTCATCTAAATTGCGCACAAAATCAACCAATTCCGTGAGCTTTCTGATCACCAGTGTTTTGAACTGTGCATCTGATAGACTGGCTATTTCTTGGTTGCTCAAAAGGATGAGTCCTGGGGGACTGATCTGTTCTGTTGGAAACATGTCTTATGTCTTTCCCTGTCTCTCCTTTTTTTTTTTTCCCCGGTCTGGTCGCTCTTGTTACGGTGGGGGGCGGAGCCTTAGGTGTTCACCGGGGCTGGGCACCTCAGTTGCTAGATTGTGAGGTTATATGTGGGGGCGGGGGCGGGAGCGGGGATGGGAGGGAACAATGGCAGTAGTTACGTTCTCCTGGGCTCAGACCCTTCTCTGGGATCCTGGGCTGCGAGCCCTGCCCTGGTCCACAATCGCTGCCTCACTGGGTCCACCAGCCGCAGCTTTCGTACTCAGGGATCACCGCTGCGTTCTTGTGCCCCGGATAGCTGTCTCACTGATTTTGTGCCAAATTTTCCCCGACCTCCGTGCGCCGCCGACCCACGCCAGCCCCACGCCCGCCCAGCTCGTCTTCTCCTACCAGTCTGGATGTACGGGTCTACTTCAACTTCTTGGCTGTCCGACTTCCATTCAGATAAATCCTCTATCAGTTCTGAGTGTTATTCTATCTGTAAATTATTGTTGTTCTAATCTTGGTTGTGCGAGGAGGTACGGTACGTCCACCTATTCCTCCATCTTGCCGGAAGTCTGCAAGATTTCTTTAGAGAAATCAGTTGATAGCCTTTTGGGAACTCCTTTGTAGGCAATTCTCTCCTTTTCTCTTGCTGTATTTAAGATTCCCTGCTTATCTTTAAACTTGGGTAATTTAATTATGATTTATCTTGGTGTGTTCCTCCTTGGGTCCAACTTTTTTGGGACTCTCTGAGCTTCCTGGACTCCCTGGAAGTCTATTTTCTTTGCCAGAGCGGGGAAGAGTTTTTCCTTCACAATTTTTTCAAATAAGTTTCCAATTTCTTGCTCTTGCTCTTCTCCTTCTGGCACCCCTTTGATTCAGATATTGCAACATTCAAAGTTGTCTTGGAAGTTCCTAAGCCTCTTATTTTTTTTTTTTAATTCTTTTGTTCATTCTGTTCAGGTTGGATGCTTATTTCTTCCTTCTCTTCCAAATCATTGATTTAAGTCCTGTTTTCCTTCCCTTCACTGTCGGTTCCCTGTATATTTTATTTCACTTTGTATAGGCTTCATTTCTTCCTTCATTTTGCAACTAAACTCAATCAGTTCTGTGAGTATCCTGATTACCAGTGTTTTGAATTCTGCATCTGATAGGTTGGCTATCTTCTTGTTGCTTAGTTCTTTTTCTGGAATTTTGATCTGTTCTTTCATTTGGGCAATATTTCTTTGTCTTGGCACACCTGTTACCTAGAAAGGGGCAGAGCCTTAGATATTTTCCAGGGAGGGGCAACCCATGTTGCTGTGTTTTGGTGGTCTGTGAGGGAGGCGTCAGAGAGGGAAAAATGCTGTTTGCTCGGCTCTTGCCCCACTTTCAGTCACTTCCCTCACTTCCCACAAGCAAATTGGGCCCTTCTGGTGCTGATTCCCAGGTGGGCAGGCTTGTGTACATTCTAGAACCTGCTGGATCTCTCCAACAAACTCTCCTGTGAGGCTGGGAATTTCTCCTGCAGCTGCAAGTCCCATGTTTTTATAGCCAGAGGTTTTGAGGCTTTATTTCCTGTGCTGGAGCCCTTGTTTGCATTGTCTGTCTCACTCCTCAGGTGTTCCTTCCGGTTTATCTGCATGAGAATGTGGGACCAACTGGTCAGCCAGCCACTGCTTTGCCCACCTGGTCCGCCTCCTTGCCACATGTCCTCTTCACCCCGGCTGCCCGTCTTTGTCGCTCTTACCAGTCTGGATTAATGTTTCTTCTTTAACTCCTTGCTTGTTGGACTTCCATACAGTTCAATTTTCTGGCAGTTCTGGTTGTTTTCTGTTTTTAAATTTGTTGTTGTCCTTCTTTTGGTTGTGTGAAGAAGCAAAGTGTATCCACCTATGCCTCCATCTTCACTACTGGGTTTTCTATAAGGCCACCATGAAAAAAGACTGGACCTCAGTCATGAATTCCTTCAGGTTTGTGCTTCTTTGCAAACATACTTCTGCACATATTGGCCACTTTTTCTTTCGTACAATCATTAATTGTTGAATTCTTCCCCATCTCTTAAGGCCTAGTACTAACATCACCTCCTCCACAGAGTCTTCTTTTATTTCTTTAACCAGCTATGATTGCTCATTTTTATTAATTCTTACAAATTTTTGTGTGTCTCATGATAGTCTTCATATTTTTGCCTTAAATAGGAATTATGCCAGTCTCTCTCCATTCCTGCCAAAGTTGAATTGCTCAAATTTTGCACCACCCCACCAAATATAAACATTTACCTAACACTTTAGATAGTTATGACCAAACACTAAGCAATGAGGTCAATGCCAATAGTTTCTTTAGATTGTTAACAAAAAGATGGTCTGACCAAAGGCTATAGAAGAATGGACAATAAGCCATGTCAGAATCCACTGATGTTCTAAACTGAACTAACAATAAAAGGGGGACAGACTCATAGATGAAGAGCAGATGACAGCTAGTGGGAGGAGGAGGTTAGGGGGTGGAGGGATTGAGCAAAAAGGAAAAAGGACTCATGAACATGGACAAAAGTGTGGTGATTATTGAGGGGAAGGAGGTATAAGGAAACTAAATGGTAATGGAAAAATATATAATAAAGATTTAATTCATTAAAAAAGAAAAAGAATCCATTGATGTTCTAAAGATATTGATGTCTCCATGCTGACCACTGCACTAATAATAATCACTTGAATGTTAATACCATGTCATAATTTTTTAATTGCTTTAATATACATTATTTCAGTTTTATTTTCATAAGCATAATCTAAGGTAGAAAATATTATCTTTATAGATAAGAAATATGAGGTCTGGAGAGGTCTGAGGTCAGATGGTGCATTCAGGGTATGCTAGATCTAGAAACACATTTTTCTGATGTCCAATCTGAGGTTCTTTTCACTGTCCTGAACCACCTTTCCAAAGACCCCCGCACATTAAGTGTTCACAAGGCCAACCCTCACCCTGAGCAGGTCCTACCTAAACTGGCTTCCCTGGAAGGACTTACCTGCCATTCATCAGGACCAGAACAGAACGGTTGTTGACCTGATCGTCATTTCTGTGCTTTTTCTAAAATTATACAAGAAAATGTTCAGGAAATAGAATCGAGCTAACTGCATGTAGAAAATTAATATTTGGAAATATTACCCAATGTAATTCACCCTCTTTATAATTTTCCCCTAACCCCCAAAGTCCTCCTACCATTAAAATCAGGCCAAGAGACTGATTATCTCTGAAAAGTTGAAAAGGGAGGTCTGAAAAAGAACCAAGGGAGAAGAAAGAGAGAAAATCTCAGCTTTAAAGATCAAAAGCCAAAGCCTGGGGGATGAGAACAAACAACTTATATCAAAGGCCACAGAGATGAGATGGCAGAGATGAGATGAGCATGAGTCTCATGCTCATCGGTAGCTGCCAGGAAAGCTAAGTATCCTCGAGCATGCTTCCCTCCCACCCCTGGGAGAAGGGCAGGACTGGAAAGGAAGCAGACAGAATCCTTAATTTGTTAGAATAGCTATGCTAAAGAGACTGAGTTCTGAACCAGAAGTAACTGGGTTATTCTGAATTGGCAAGTTAAGTTTTGGGCTCTTTAAAAAGGGTGGCAATAGTGGAGTGGTTATTATGAGCTATACTGAGTTTAGTCATAGAGAAGTAAAGTTACGTCTTTGCATTGTGACTTCAGTCACAATTTAGTTATGACTAAAATTTAAACCATTGTGCTAATTCTGGATTTAAAAAGTTAACAAAGTTAAATAGCTGAAGAAACATCCTCTCAAACTTTGGTCTAGAAATCTTTCCTGGCAAAATCAGGACTCTCTTCTGGAAGATGCAAGCAGGTCATCAAGACTGGCTCCCCAAATGCCACTACTAGGCATGGTACTGGGTCCTCACCCTTACTCTTCTATGCAGGGCCTGCTCTGAGGAGTAAAGAGGAAGCCATATAGCACTCACTGGGAGCCAGTTTCTCCCTCCAAGGCCAGGAAAAGAATCAGCCCTTGCTTAAACATGTCATAAGACTTTTTTAAAATTAGGGGGTTCCTACTTGTGCATACCTAATAGAATTGAAAATTTGAAAGGCAAATAGGGAGAGTTGGAAAGGAGAAACAAAATGTGCAAAAGGGAGATAAGAATAGGAAAAAGAGGGAGGAGGAAACAGAGGGATGAGAGGAAGATGGATATAAAAATGAGAAAGGAGGGAATGGAGAAAGAAGGATGAGAGCAAACCAGACAAAGCTAAGAGGGGAGTGAAGGAAGAGGTGGGTTATTAAAAAAGAGACAGGCCCTTACTGGTGTGGCTTAGTGGGTTGGGCATTGTCCTGTAGACCAAAAGGTTGCCAGTTCGATTTCCAGTCAGGGCACATGCCTCAGTTGTGGGCCAGGTCCCCAGCTGGGGGTGTGTGAAAGGCAACCAATTGATGATGTTTCTCTCCCTTTCTTTCTCCCTCCCCCTCTCTCTAAATAAAATTAAAAAAAAAAACAGAGATGGAAGAAAGCCTAGAAAAGGGGTTAAGAGTGGTGGTAGTAGGAAGACAGAGAATGGTCTTACATTGCTCCTTCTTGGCCATGCATAGACCACCAATCTTGGGCCTACAGAAAGTATATATTCATCTGGGGCAGATAAAGAAACAAAAAAAGGAAACATTTCTTTCCAATTAGTGCTTTTTCCTAGCACTAGATAGTTCTGGGAAGTCCTTCTTGCCCCCCGGCCTGACTAGATACAGTGAAGAAGTAAAGGCCCAAAAAGGCAGTTTACCAGGTCGTCCATGGCATCCTTCACTGCTGTTATGGACAGCACCACTATCAGAGGTATCACAGTTGTGTACCATGCCAAGGAAGAGATCTGGGGAATCAGCTGTGAGGTGGAGGGAGAGAAAAGCTTAGGTCAGAAAGCTTAAAAGACAATATATTTTCCCCTACCCCAACACCATTTTCACCTCCATAGATCCATAATAAATTAAACTATCCTAGTTGCTTTCCACTGTTTGTAGCCTTCATATAATCCTCCAAATTATAAGCAAACATCTCCCAAGAAAGAAGGAAAGGAGCCTATAAATTGCTACCTGTCTGTCCTGAACTCTACTACATTTTTCTTGATGGCAGAGGGCCACCTTTCCCGTGATAGTGGAGGGGCTGGGGATAGCGGGTAAGAGTGGACATGGGAAAATCACATACCCTCTCCACATGCCTTCAGTACAAGGGAAGGGGGATGATTTGTCCCTCTCTCCTAATCTGGGCCTACCCTGCCCTGCTTCCTCGCTCTGTGCTGGTACTGTTATGTTCTAGACCACTCTCCTTCCTCAGCACTCCTGCATTTTCACTTCGCTAGGTAGGCTGGGACAAGAGGGAGGAATGGGGTTGTAAGTGTGGTTGGGGCGAAGACTCTGTAGTCTTCTATGGTCAGGCTGAACTGTGGCCATGCAGCCATAAGGAGAGGGCTCCCTTTCCTTGGGGTCCAGAGACCTTGCCTCCTTCCTCTTGTAGAGGCTGGTTTCACCCTGGCTACCCCTGACCACAGCTACTCTAGAGGACTGGCCTGAGACCCGGGCCATCCATTTGCCTGTTTTCTACTGAGGGAAGGCATTTCTCAGTTTAGGGAGGAGAAGGACTGATTACACAACCTGTGCCCAGAGAGGCTGATAACATGTTCTGTGGAAAAGGCCCCAAAAGACAATACCTGTAGGATTAGCAAAATGAGAAAATACGCATTGGCGAGTCTCTGGAACTGCTCAAATAGGTTCAAGGGCAAGAAGTTAAAGACATTATATTTTGAGGTCTTGATGGTATTGTTCTGTGAGTAAAGGAAACAAGCACAATTAGAGGAATAAAAGACTCCCTCCTCCCAGTCTTAACAAGAAGGGCAAAGTCCTCACTATGAAATGGTAAAAAGCAACAGTTCCCTCACCAATAGGAGGGAAGAAGTATCTGTCCCCCTGCCCCCTGACACACACACATTTTCTTTGAGGCCTACAGAGGTCTAGAGGATGCAAAGATGTCAAGGTAGATCAATATGGGGCTTTTCTGGAGGCAGAATGTATTCCTGTCCTGGATAGAATTCTTTGTTTATTGATACTATTGATAATGATAATAAAATCAACAACAATAAAAACTCACACTTACTATGTGTTACATGCAAGGTATCATTCTAATCACTTTATATGTAGCAACTTATTTAACCCTCAAAACAACTCTATGACAGAGTACCATATGACCACCTTTTTGAGGATGAGTAAATTGAGTTATATTGAAGTTATTTGCCCAAGACCACACAGTTAGTTGCAGAGTTGGGATCACGCTGTCTCCTGATACTCATTCCACTTGTGTAGACATCCAAATACTTATCTTTCTTAGAATCATAAATCCTTCAGTTTCATCTTACCCTCTGGTGCCTAAGGTCCTCTTCAGTCCTAAAAAGGCAAGTCTTCCATTTGTGTTAGCTCCACTCCAGAGTGTAATGAAGCTTTTCTTGGTCTGGCAAACTCATTTCAGTGTGCTTTTACCAGCTGGTTTCACTGATGAAGAATGTCAGATGCTAAAAGCAAATTACTGTTTTTCAACCTTAGCCCATTGAAGGGTTCCTAAACTGGCTGCTGTCAGCACTGGAAAATCACCCACCCCTCAACTGTCCTGAGGGAGTCTGAGAAGTCAGCCCTATATCTAAGCTATTATTTTGCTAAGTGAAAATGGGAACTTGGCACCTGTTCAGTGCTGATCTCAAGATGTTGACAGGACCACCTTACTTTCTATCTTTGGGTCTTCAATCATTCGACCTACAATGTCAGAGCTTGAAGCTAAGAGCTCAAGAAAAGGAGAAGAATGAGGCCAAACAGTTCTCTAAGAACAGGGCTTCTCTCCCACCTCCTCCATCTGCAAGGCCTAAGCAGAAGGATAAACCTATGTACAGGCCTGGAGTACAGACACTGTAAATAAAGAATCTTCCTGGGCCCTGCCTTGAGAAGGCATCAGAGTCTTCCTGGAGAACCAAAACCATCCAGTCCTAAGGCTAAAACTTGCCCAGGAAGGCTAGATAGGCTACCCAGCCAAGACTTGCCCAATGTCTGTTTCCCAAAGGAAGAGCAAATGGTCAAATAGCTTACTGCTGAGTAATTTAGAGATCCAAGCCAAAACTAAGATTTACGTGGTATTTATCCATAATTTTTCCAATTAACAATCAACTGAACACTATACATTTCTCAAGGCTTGCTCAACTGTTCACAGCCCTATGTTGGGCTATACTAGTAGAGGCTGAAAAAGAATTAAACAAGATCTATCCTAGAGAAGCTCATAGGTTTGCCTTGAATGAAGTTCTAACCAAATGATCTACAAGGGCCCTTCTAGCCCCGAGAGTACATTATTCTAAAGTATGTTCTTCTAATATAGAAACAGTTTCTTTGATCATAAGACACTCTGATTTCTTGGTGTTTAATTCCAGACAGCTCAGACACTTGGACCCACAAAAGTTTTGATCTTTTGCCTTACTGAAGCAGCTGGCCATCACTATTGATTTTCCACTTCATTTTTATAGCTAATAATGTAGTATTTCATGTTTCTATTCACTTTGGTAACGTTTGCTTAGCAAACAAAGACAAAAGTCATGCTGACTCTGTCTCAAGATAGAAGTATCAGTACTTCTTCACTAATTTGGCAATTAGAGTGTTTTATTCTACTCTTACATGTGAAACCAGAAACAGTGTCTCAAGGATAGGACTGGAGAGCATCATGCTAAGTGAAATAAGCCAGGCAGTGAAAGACAAACACCATATGATCTCACCTATAAGTGGAACCTAATCAACAAAACAAATGAGCAAAATAGAAACAGAGACTTGGAAATAACGAACAAACTGACATGGACCGGAGTGGTGGGGGGAAGGGGATACTAGGGGAAAGAAGGGGAAGGGGCAAGCACAGGAACATGAATAGAGGACTCATGGGCACAGACAATGAGGGGAGACTGACTGTGGGAGTGGAGGTATGGGGCAGGGGTGAGCAATGGGGAAAAAGGTAGGATAATACTAACTGAACAATTAATTTTAAAAAATGTAGAACATCTGCTTAACTATGAACTTCCTCACTGTTTAGTTACTTTGGCACATGTGATAACATTTAAGCACGGATAGAGGTGATGGATTTTGGTTTGGGCTATTCATTTATTTGGGCAGTATACTTGACTGATGACTAACTGAAGAAATAAAGGAGAACAGAAAGAAGACCATGGGCATTATGGGAATCAGTATTTAGGGGTTGGGAAGAGGAAAAGGAGTGGGAATGGAAGAAATTAGAGAAATAGGAGGAAAATGAACAATGGGTAGGGCCAGGGAAATGAAATCGTTGTTACATATATCATGATCAGTCAGATCTGTTTAATTTATTCATTAGCTGTTCAGCCTATAGCTGCTGAACGCCGTTTATGTGCCAAGCATTGTGATAGGAACTGTGGATACAGATTGAATGAAACTTGTTCCCCTTTTTCAAGGGGTAACAGTTTCTAGGAGAAAGTGAACTAACATTTTTCACAAGTATATTTAACTCCTACAACCACCACGTAAGGTGGTGAGCATCATCATGACCTTTTTACAGACAAGGAGCTGAAAATCAGAGAAGTTAACATACCTAAGGATGCAAGGTTAGTAAGGAGTAGAGCTGTGTTCAAACTCTGGTCTGTCTGAGGCTGAAAGCTAGTTTTACTGCCCCATCCCAATGCTGTTTATGCAGGTCTAGGAGATGGGGAGAGGGAAAACCTGTTCCCATGGCTATACCCCAAACACTGTTATCTTCCAGAACCTCTCTAACTCAGAAATCATAAACTAATATCCTACAGAGACTGTAAATATGTATGGCTACATATATTTATAGCTATATGACAGTAAACCCTCACTTAACATTGTTGATAGGTTCTGCAACTTCAGATGAGAGACATATAATGAAACCAGTCTCACCATAGACTAATTGACATAAACGAGAGTTAAGTTCCTATGGCATCTCATCAATGTCTTAATGAAATAATGTATTTGAGGACCTGCTGTATATGAGTATACAGATACAAAGCTGCATGTGCATAAAATAACATATCTGTGAAAGCCTTGCTTGTAATTATGAAAGATTGGGAACAACCTAGATATGGATTTATAAGGAACTGGTTACATAAACTATGCTAGATCTGCATAAGAAATACTATGCAGCTGAAAAACAAAAGAAAGGAAAAAGCTATTATGAAATTCTGATTATGAAAATATTTCTAGGACATATTGTTAAGGTTCACAATATTGTAATAAAGTGGGAAAATCGGAATATATATTTGTATTTGCTTTATTTGCACAAATAAGCACTTCTAATGACACAAGAAACTACTAAAGGGATTCCCTACAGGGAGCAGATGTGGGCAAGCATGAGGTGTCGAGGCATGACTTTTCAATACATATCTTTTTATGACTTATTTATTCATAAATAAATAAATGAAAAATGAACAATTCAATAGAAAATTAGCAAAGATCATTAATAGGCAGTTTCCAGAAAAAGAAATACAAAAGGCTAATTAACATGAAAAATTAGTGGTCTCACTCAAAATTAAGGCAAGATAGAAAACAAAATGTCATTTTTCACTTACATCCTGGCAAAGATAAAAAAGATTGGTAATACCCCGTTTGGCAGGTGTATGGAGAAAGTGGGCAATCTCTACTATACTTAGAAATGTAAATGGATGTGGGCTTCTTAGAGGACAATCTGCACTATGTATCAAATTTTTAAATGTGTCTTCCTTTTCACCTAGCCAATTCACTTCTAGAAAACTCTCATAAGATATATTCACACTAAATGTGCAAAAAAACCCAACCCCCATGCATAATGGTTTAGTAAGGATGATTTACCACAGTAAAACACTGGAGACATTTTTTTTTGGAGGGGGTATGGATGAAGATATTTTAAATGTTCATCAACAGGAAACTGGTTAAATAAATTAAGGATATCAATATAATAGAAAACTATGCTGCTATTAAAGAAATCAGGTAGATCTACATGCTTGTCATAGATGTCTAAATGAAAAAAGAAAATTGTAGAACTATGCTTTTATTTGTGCAAGAAAAAGCTACAGTATTTCTTATCTGGGAGTTATACATAAAACCCCAAATCTGAGATATATTATTCCCTGACCCTTGATCACTGGACTGATTTTGGTTCTGCCCCTCCCTGCACCAGCCCTCATTGTGCAGCCATGTGAAATCAAGCAGAACCTAAGTTACAGGATCTACATCTACCATGAAGTTCCTGCCCCACCAAGCAAAGGAGAATATTATAGGAGAATTTCAACCTCCTTTTGAAATAGCCAGAGACCTGATACTCACTGGATATCCAAACATAGTGTTGAATTCTTTGTTGTTGGCTTGCAGATATCTCTCTTGTTCTAAGGGAGAGGAGAGAAGTTATGAGAAGGATGCCCCTCTGCAGATTAGCTTGGAATGCAGGCTGCTAGTGAAGGCTTCACTGGTTCCTCACACTTTCTCCCTGAGGGTATCTGTCTACAAATGGGATTTTGTCTCTTTATTCAAAGAATCAAGAAATAGAATATAAATTGAAATCCTCAAGTGTTTAAGCTTTCCGTAGGCAACAGGACACGTAATTTCTGAGTTCTCCATCATTAATGTTTTCAGTAAATGATGACTATCCTAGTCATGTCTCTGCAGACAACAAGATGGCCTGCACCAACATGACTGCCAAACACAGAAATCCAGCCCTCCCTCGTAGGCCAATTGCACTATCTTAATTTGTTTGACTAAACTGAAATCAATCAGTCAGTCATTACTGAGCACCCACTGCACAGAAGCCAGTGTGCTGGATGCCGTGGGGGGCAGGGGGATAAAGAGATGAGGAAGACAGAGTACCTGACTTCAAGGGGCCTGTAGTTCAATAGCAGTAAGCCTGATAACTGTAACACATGACAAAACCATCCCATCAAAACACATAGGTATTAGGAACAGTGAGCCCACTACCGTGTTATGAAAAGTCTTAAAAACATATGCTACCAATAGATAACATATATCTATTTCCCTGAATGAAATACTTCCATAGTCTCTTCAGTTCTTCATTGGCTCAACGGACGAACATTTACCGAGTTCTTGACAGGTGTCAGGCCCTGTGCTAGGTGTTAGGGCTACACTATCCCTGACTCTCTTGGGACTTTTAATCCCAGTGGGGAAGACAACCATAAAAAAATTTTCAGTCTAATGTAAGGGCTGTGATACAGGCAAGAACAGGATGTTAGGAATGCACAGAAGAGGGGATGGAGGTAATAAGGAAAAGTCAGATGTGAAATCGTTCCTGGAGAAGATGCTTGAATTATTTGGATGACATGGTGTGTGTAATTTCTAATTCTCTTGAGCCTGGATAGTACATACAGCAAGCAACCTAGAATTTTGTCTGAGGGTTGACACTACTATTAAGCCCTTAATCATTCTAGAAATTCCTAGACTGTGTTTCCAAAGAATTTGTCTCCTCAGAGACTGGGTTCTAGCAACCCCTCTGCCTGCGAGTTACATTGAATGTCTATTTTGAAGCTCTTCCAGCCCTCTAACGTCTTCCTTGGCTCATGGCTCCCAAGACTAGAAAGAAATTTCCTTCATTGATCCTCAGAGATTCTTACTCTAGGCTACTGACTCCCACTTGATCCTGAACTCACTTGCCTTAGCCCTCTAAGGGAAGTTTCTGGCTCCAGGTCCTAGAAACCCAACCTTGTAACTGTTCAAATTTTTTTAGATATAATTACATAATATCAAATTTACCTTCTTAAAGTGTACAATTCAGTAATTAGTAAATTCACAAGGTTATTCAACTATCACCACTAATTTAGAACATTTTTATTATCCCCAAAAGACAACCTATACTCAATTCACCCCTTTCCCCTATCCCTGGCAAACACTAATCTATATTCTACCTCTATGGATTTGCCTACTCTGGACATTTCATACAAATAGAATAATAGGTGGTCCATTGTAACTGGCTTGTTTCATAGAGCATAATGTTTTCAAGGTCCATCCATGTTACCGCATGTATCAGTATTTTATTCCTCTTTATGACTGAACAATATTCCACTGTGTGAATATACCACATTTGTTTATCCATTGATCCACTGATGAACATTTGGGTTGGTTCCATCTTTTGGCTATCATAAATAAGGCTGTTATGAACATTCATGTACAAGTTTTGTGTGAACATGTTTTCATTTCTCTTGGGTATATATCTAGGAGAATTGCTGGATCATATGACAATTCTATGCTTATGAGAAACTGCCAAATGATTTTTCACAGCAGTTGAACTATTTTATATTCCCCCACAATGTATGAGTGTTCTAATTTCTCCACAGCCTCATCAATAGTTGTTAGTGCCTGTGGCCTTTTTTAATCCTCACTAAAGGGGTGGGGGAGAGAGAGAGAGAGAGATTGGTTACTGCCTGCATGAGGTGCAACTGGGGATCGAACCCACAACCTAGGTATGTGCCCAGACCAGGAACTGAACCTGCAACCTTTTGGCGTATGGGATGATGCTCCAGCCAACTAAGCCCCATGGCCAAGGCTGTGTGTGTGTGTGTGTGTGTGTGTGTGTGTGTGTGTGTGTTTAATATATTTTAGTCATTATGCTATTACAGTGTTTTTTTTTATTTTAATCATCTTGATGTGAAGTAGCATCTCATTGTGGTTTTGATTTGCATTTCCCTAGTGATTAATGATGATATTGAGTATCTTTTCATGTGCTTATTAAACATTTATATATTTTCCTTGGAGAAATGTCTATTCAGATTCTTTGCCCATTTTAAAACTGGGTTAATTTTTAAAATAATTAAGTTAGAAGAGTTTGTTTTGTATATTCAAGATAGAAGTCACTTATTGCATATGTGATTTGCAAATATTTTCCCTCAGTCTGGTTTTAACTGTCATTTTTTATAATGTACTAAATTCCACCATTGAATGTGATTCTGGGTTTTGTATTATTTTCCATTGTTCTAGTCATCTTTTAAGTTATGTAACCTTTAATATTGAATAGCAAATCTCCTTGGCTATTCTTACCTATTCTCTCTTCTACATAAATTTCAGAAGATAAACTTCAGAATCACTTTGTTCAGTTCTCTTGAGACTAAAGTTTTGATTAGAGAGGAGGAGAAATAGAATTTAATCACTCGAGTCCTGGAGATGGAGTAAAAGTGGGTTATTAGAGGAGGCAGAGCCACCTCCCATGGGTAAAACAGTCAGGTGTGGGAAACTACAATGCATTTATCAGGAGGCTAAAATCACAGACTTTTGAAAGATAGCTAAGGAGAGTCAGTGTTAAGACAGGGAGCTTTATTGTTCCTCATGTAATTTTTTCGATCCTTCCTCTAGTTGTCAGCAAAATTACAGATCATCGTGAAGTCAGAACATGTGTACATTTCTTATGGAAGATATCTAAAGGGCTGAGGTCTGCACATTGGGTAGTACAAAAACAGAGAACTATGAGGAAATTTGGGGATTTGTACATATTGTGGGACAGGTGGAACTGAGATGTTTAGCTACTTTTATCTGAGGATTTGAGAGTATACAGATTTGGGTTACACAGATTAATTTGGATAGAGTTGATATTTCTGCATCAACTTTCCCCCAGCGATACTGTATCTCTGAGGGAGACAGAGAGAGCCTTATTGGTATTCCCCTATGAAGCCACTCCTGTGTGTATGATGATCGTGTCTGTAACCACCTTATTAGCAATATGTAAATGGGTCTTCCCTGAATTAGAGTTACCACCCGGCTATGAAGCTTGTAGGTTGTTTTATTGCACTAGTGCATTTCGTTTTTGTTGTTCCTTCTTGTGATTACTAGGATAACCTGAATAAAGATGGGGCAAATGGTAGGACTGGGTGGAAAAGGTGAAGAGATTACAAAAAAAGAAAAGAGAAAGAAAACTCATAGACACAGACAACGGTATGGTGATTACCAGAGGGAAATGGGGGTAGGGGGAGGTAGAAAAGAGTAAGAGGGGGATAAAGGGTGATGAAAGGAGACTTGACTTGTGGTGGTGAACACACAATACAATATACAGATGATGTAGTATAGAACTGTACACCTGAAACCTATATAATTTTATTAACTAATGTCATCCCAATAAGTTCAATAAAAAAGTTAAAAACAAACAACAACAAAAAAAGATGGGGGAAATTGAGACAGGACTGATAGGATTTCTGTGTTGCCTGTTTGACTAGCAGGTGGCTTACAATACTGTGATACAAGAGCTTCTGCTAACCATTGTAGCTTAGGTTACCCAAAGCAGTGGAACATGTATGGCTCAGATAATTTAGCTGCAACTAGGATTCAGAGCTGCTGCATGGTCAATGCCCTTGTGCAGGGACTTTCTCAGTGGCCCAGATAGCTGCCTCATTAGGGCAGTATTGGTGTTTATACTGGTATTGAGGTTACCCAATCCCTGAGCAGGCTAATTTTCTACTATGTTCATATTCAATTTGCTCAGGCATTGGTAAACAAAATCAGTCTCTACCAAGCTATTTGCCCCTCCAACCATACCCTACAGACCTTTCCATTTATTCAAAAATATTACTTTATGCCTCTCTATAAAGTTATAATATTTTAAATCAAATTTCACATTTCTTTTTTGAAAAGATTTTATTTATTTATTTTTAGAGAGAGGAGAAGAGAGGGAGAAAGAGAGGGAAAGAAACATCAATGTGTGGTTGCCTTCTGTGTGTCTACTACTGGGGACCTAGACCACAACCCAGGCATGTGCCCTGACTGGGAATCAAACCAGCAACACTTTGGTTCACAGGCCAGTGCTCAATCCACTGAGCCACACCAGCCAGGGCGAATTTCACGTCATTATTAGATTTAATCTTAGATATTACTGCTTATATTTTACCTTAATAAAGATCGAACAGGTTTTCCCAGCAACTCATCTGGCTGCAGCAGGCTATTCTCTCTAAGCCCAATAATCCCAAGGGATACACGGAGTCCAGGCTCTGCACAGCAACTGAATCCCTACCTCTCTTTAAGAGCAAAGTAAAGTAGGTAGATCCCAGAGTTTAGAGCTTGACTTGGTGGAAATAAATGGAGACTCCAGAGCAGGGGTAGGGTTACCTTCACCTAATTTTGGCTCCTTGATACCAAAGCTGCTAAGAAAGGAGACAAAGGCAAAAGGAAAGTAGGATTTCCAGCAGAGGGGAAGAGAAATTGAGGGTTAGAAAGTCAGATTTCATAAGATACCTCTAAAAAAGGAAAAGGAGGAATGATGAAAACAATGGCTAGAAGTTCAGTTTGTACAATCTACTAGAAGAACCTGAACGTCTGAGAGAAAGAAGACAAGCTTAAATAAAAAAAAGTAGTCAGTCAGGTTTGAGGTAATAAAGGCAGGAAGAATGTTTTCAGACTG